GAAGCGTTCCCATGCGGAAATATGCGAAGAAGACCTGTTTACATGCTCGCCGGTTCCCGCTACCCATCTTGCCTTTAGAGAGTTGAGAATCTCAGACGATAGTCGTTCGAACGAAAGTATACGAAATAAGAAACCGAGCCGAGCTATCTAAGCTTGATAAAATTTAATTTTTTATACAAATTAATGATTTATACCATCGATTATGCACATTATATTATTCAACTTAATAACACGCTGTTCTTGAATAAAATATAGATACAAGGCGGGTAGCAAGAAACCAGTCGAGTGAAAGGTAACAATGTGAAGGCAAGTCTACTCTGCGTTAACCGCGTATACACAAAAGGCCATTGCTATCGATTAAATACGTATATCGATTAAAAATTCTGAAACTTTTGAAAATCCAATTCCGAATAAACAATAATCAATCGTAATCTGTATCCTTACATTGCACTCAAAATTATCAAGAGGTAGATGCAAGTGATTTATCACCGATAGCTTTCTGGTATCGATACTGTATCAGTATGTTTCTTAATCTCTTAATAAAGCTACTTGCAATACTGGGAAATTGTTAAGTAATATAATATCGTTGGAAGTTTTAAAAAACCACAAGAAAAACACACAATGTTTTCAAGAGATGAGTGTAAATGATTTATTATAGACAGTGATTTCTGATACGGATATTGTATCAGTTTGTCTCTTAATCATCTGACGGAATTTAACGCGATATTAACAAAACATCGGGATTTTTCATTGAATCGTCACCGAATGTTTTGAGAATTCAAACCAAAGCCTGAAATGTTATCAAAACCATCTGGTCCATGTTAAGACAAAAAGATTATTGATTATACCAAGCGTCACTGTTACACAAAATTGTTTCGCATAGATGAAATAGCGGTAAAAGAAGCAGATCGAGCAAGACACGGGTCGGTTCTCCCTGAATACGTCAGACGCGACAAGGACGTCTACTAAATGAGCAAATTATACTGGAATAATTGCTGAGCTACTGGCGGAACTGGCAACTAAAAACACCCAAGTAGAAAGAGAGCAAGAGAAACGGTAGCAAAAAGTAGAGAAAAAGAAAAAATCGCGAAAGACCAGGCCTCTGTTCTTTTTGTTCTCGTTAACATTCGCGTTTAACGTAGCACACTGATAACGCGACAAAGAGATACCTCATTGTTCGCGCGATTGTTAATCGTTCAAAGAAATTCGATCGATTTCAACGATCGCAACGGCGCGTCGAGTTTTCACTGCTCTTCAACAACCGACAGGACGACGAACCTCCAGCAACATTTTACTTTCGTACGGGTAATAATCGCGAAACGTCTCGTGAAAGTTTGCGCGGTTTATACATCGTGCAAGAGTCTGATAAAATTTCGCTTTTAAGCCCCCCCCTACCTCGAAGAATCTAATACTTTCTACACTACCGAATTCCGATCGAGCAATCGCTTGCGCAACTTTCCACTCTGCATAGCCGGAGAATTTTAACCCTTCAACGAAGCGGACGGGTTAATCTTGACCGAGACCTACGAAACGCATGCATCGATTTTCCAAACGGTTGAAAAATAATATTTAATCCTTGAAAGGTGAGACAATTTAAATTTAATTTTAGAATCACCGTTCGGCGGTTGAATAATTATATCACGAGTTTGAAAGTATAAATTAAAAGACTCGTCTGCTGAAAGTTTCAGCGAGTTTACCGTGGCTTTTAAAGCACTCCTAAAGTGAGTACACACACCAGCTGAGCTTAATCCGTTGTCACCAGAGGCCAACAGGAGCCTCTGTGAATTAAATGATTCTATATTTTCTTGATCTGCGATAAACGAGCCACGAGTCACCTTAATTCTCTTCTTCCCTCCGCCTTAGTTTGCGTCATCAACCCCTCACAGTTCCGTCTTTTTCTTCTTCAATGCCTTGCTCCACCATTTTGCACGGTGGTTTATCGCTTGGTTATTTTCAGCAATGCTTTTCGTCTTGGGAAAATCCGACTCTGTGTTTCTCCCTTCTATCCTCATTTTTCTCCTTCTCGTTCTGATTTCTGCAGCAGCTTCTGTCAACGGTTTGTTTTGCAGATTTTCATCCAGTTCGAAGTGTCGGTGACCAAACACACGCGAGGATGAATCGTTGACCGTAAGGATCGTGGTGTTTTATTTCGAGATTAGCAATTTTTGCTTATTTCTAGGTCGTTATACTCTGGATTTTGCTTATCAACGAGTTTCGGATCTCGAAGACGTTGCTTGCCACGTTTGCGTTTAACGTTTCCGGGTATCGTTTTTCTTTTACTAACGTTTCAAATGGAAATATTATCCACTTTTCCATATTGGAAGATTAGTATTACTATTCAAGCCTTCTCGAAAGAACGTTTTATCAGCAAACCCATTCGATCACATCATTTTCAATAACGTTATTTTCCTTTTACAACGTATCCGACTTCTGTCTTCAAGGATTCAAACAGTTGACTCGAAACGAGAAGGTATCCTTAGAATATAATTTTCTAGGTGCCTAAGGCAAGAATATCCCTAAGGCAGCTTGTTGCAGATAGCTCGAGAAAAGGTCAACTTAGGTGCATCGATCTTCGAGGATCTTTCAGAATGGAAACTAATCAAAGGTCAGGATAAAACAAGCGAGTAGTAAACGCGGCTATACAGAATTGGTTATATGAATGAAGCCTTAATCGTTTCTTCAAACCTTTCCCCTTGCAACAGGTGATCATTGTTACCATTTCTTTTTCGAACCAGCCTTTTCAACTTTATTTGCTTTGATTCGCCGAAACGTTATCATATTATTTCTTCTTATCACGGTGGCATAAAAAAATAAATAAGATAAGGAAAGGAAACATTTTCAACAAAGTCTCGTGTCCGTTTTAATTATCTTCATTCATTTTCTATGATTTTAAGTGAAATTGAAAAAATATTTTCGAATACCGACGATTTTCTCTTTTTACGTAGTTCAAGATTATTTTATTTGAACAGGTTTTTGCAATAATATGTATTGCTCTGAGTGAAGACTTAATCGAGGAGACGGTCGACCACGCCCGAAAAAATCGAGCGGGACCAAAGACGTGAACATGTCGATCACCTTCTTCCTTTCCCTATCGCCTAGCCGATTTCGAATTTCTGACTGACCCTTTCACTACGGACGTCTTTACCGAAAATGTTGCCTAATTTAATACTTGATTTAGTACCTAGTACTTAAGAGTCTTAGTAGCCGAAGGATTAACGACACCGGGTCGTCCCGACTTTTAAAGGAAGGGCAACTCGTACAGCTTTTACGAGACCAAAGGCAAGGCCAAACTTTTACGGTTCTACATAAATAATCGGTGTCTAACGCCGCGAACGTGTCCAAGATTTTTCGGAATGCCGGTGTTAAAAATATACACCGGCTAACGTTTCTCGAAGGAACGAGAATTCAACGCGATGCAAAAGATGGTTTCAGATCAAACAGCAATTACGCAGTGGCGGAAACGAACGTACACAATTAATAGCGTTCGCGATTATCTCGCGGATCGAACATCTCTTTTATCTGTTCGAACAAATCAATATCCTGTAACGTCAAGGTCTTCCACTTGAATCGATGAATACTATGCATCGAGATAACGTTGAATGATAAAACTGTATACATACTTGATTTTTTATCATTTCACATTGAAATAATGTTTTGCTTCTTTTATGAGCAACGACTCCAAATCTACAAAAGGAACCCAAGATAATAATTTTTTCCAAAACTCAATCTTGGTCCCGGAACCAAGCGAAAAACAGCCTCGAAACGCGATCTGATTCGACCTTCGAAAAAGAAAAAAGGAAAACATCATTCGCCGATTGCTTCATTGCACGAGGATCGCCAAGGACCCGCGTCAGGCAGGCAACAAACCTGCCGCGTATCGCGGCAATTCGAGAAGAACGGATCGATCCATCGAACGAGAGAACAGAGGTACCTACGTGCGGGCGAATCAACGAACGGCACGGGAGAAAATGGTGTATAACCTTGCTCGAACGACCTCGATCGCCTTCACCATAGTAGAAACCTTCGGCTTCGTGATCGCCACGTCTACGGACACGCGCAGTATCGCCTCCGATCCTCCGATCCCCACACGAAAAGATCTCTTTCGCGTGTAACACGAGACACGGGCGTGTACCTGGCCGATCGTGCACCATCGTTAACGTTTCGTGTCTGCCTCTCACTCTCCCCCCCCTTTTTTTTTTTTACTCTTTAACACCTAAAGGGACATTTCACCGAGCCACCACCTTTGCCTCGACCCGTCCTTCCCTTCCAGACCGATCGACTACCGGTTCGATCGAATTCAACCCGGGAAAATCGAATCGATTCGTCCGGTATCGCGAGAGACGTAGAAATGAAATGGAAAATCGTTGGAGACATAAATCCAGCTGAATCTACAGGCTTTGAGAACGTTAACAGGTTAATGAGTCAAGGTATATCGGTAGCTGACGTTGACAGTGTTAATTCGCGAATTAAACCGCGCTACTTCGAAGAAAAGCGCGATTTCGCAGCAGCTCGTCGACGTCATAGTTGTTAAACATAAATTCATGGAAAACGACGAGGTTTCATGTGTTGCTCAGCTGGCACGCTTCAGGCTGATCTTTTATTCGCACTCTCGCCACGGTGATTATACGAAGCAAGCTTTTTTTAAACGTCCGTCGTTTCTAAGAAGCATCAGCGAGACACGAAACTTGACATGAAATTTATCCGTCCAGCTTATCGGATTTACGACACTGTAAACGATAAACTACGCTCCAAATTTCTCTGATAACCTCCTTAAATGTATTAAAAATAGTTTACTTCCTATCGCGTTAGACGAGCCGAAGAAAGACATCGTTTATTTCTAACGTTGATTCACCGTTGTTCCTGATGCAACAACTTAACTGTATCGACATTATCGACCATTATCGCGTTCTAAGATCGATAGCACAATCGATCGCGCGTTAGTCGAAAGCACCTACGTGTCGCGCGAGTATGCAAATAATGGAAAGTGATTTTCCACTTACCCCTTCATTTCCTAGGAACTGTATAGTAGGGTTCTGGCTGGTCTTGTTCTGTAACAGAAAAAGAAAACTTCGCGTTAATTACACGCGTTTAATCTGCTTAATAAGCTAATCAAACTATCACAAGTTTTATCTCACGGTTTTTCTACAAGATTCAGAAAAATGATATTTGAATTTGCACGAGTAATAATAAGAAAATCATTCGTGTTCTGTTTAAATTAATATGAATTCGATGAAAATTCATTGGATTACCAGCTAGGCACAGCTTTCTACGCTGCGATTCTGCGGTCTATGAAATCAAACTGTTCTATGATCTTGTAACGTAATATATTTGTCTTGTTACATTAGTGGCGTGCAGAGACGAGAATTTTGCGTGCACAAGCGTTTGAAAGGGAAAGTTGTCGGTAAGAAATTCGAGTGCGTTTACTCGTCGATCAGAATCGAAGATGTTCGATACTATCTCTATCGATCGAATCACTCGTAGATAGAAGATATAAACACAAGCCTCTTCATTTCGATACCAATTTTATGATATCGATTCTATAATATTGCTCGTGCAACTTTAATTTGACCAACTCTTCGACTATTTGCCTATCGTCTCAGACGCGTAGTCTTCCGCTTCGAATCGCGGTGGTTTTTGAATCACGTTAGATCGCGACAAAGGTTCAAACGCAAACACAGCTCGAAGCTCAATGTATGCGCATACATTTTGAGACGAACGTCGGATAGATGGTAAGATTCAATGACGACTTGTTGGTATTAGTTTCGAAGGACAAGAATCGAAAGTGCAAGAGATTAAATTCGCGAGAACGGATGTAATGCTCGTTGCATCGTTAACACGAGAAAGAGCATAACTGTTACTGTGTTTATCGATGAAAATAAAATGTTGCTGATACGAATTCACCGATTCTTGCTACTAGGTATCGTTAATTTCCTGACAGAGGCTATTTATGCGACACGACTTAGTTCAGTTTCAAAGATAGAGTCATTAATAATACACTTTATTAGCGATTTGCTAAACGTAGATAGCAGAGCTAATTAACGTGGTTGTTTAATGGAAAACAGATTGAAATTCATGTTAGACGATATCACATAGTTATACATGACATTATATAACGGCACCAATGTTTTTATACTTTCAAAAAACACCTAATCGTAATTCGCGATTTTATATACAAAAATTAGATAATTGTCCACGGTTGAAGTGTTAAGAATTCATCAGAATTTTAATTATCATTAAGCGACTCGTTTCTAGCAACAATGTTTTTAATCTTAATCGCACTACGCACAGTTATGCAAAAAGGAAATCATCTATTGCCTGAAAAGGTGTTAAATAGGCAGCACGCGTATGCTTTCACCGATGATGGTACGATAACGATTTTTTGGGGGAATAATTCAACGCACGTTCAGAGGAAGTTCACGAAACGGAAACAAACCACCGGAAAGATTATACAGATCTGACGTAGAATGTTTTAACGCACTCCCTCATTTTTATACCTAATAATTACACGAAAAGGGATCTCGAGAGTAGGTGCTCGAATAAAATATATAAACGCGAGTGAAATTAGATGAAAAAGGTTTATGCTCCCCATGAAGAAAATGAAAAGCAATCGAACGAGCCGGAAAAGTGATCGAGATCAGCTCGTATATTTCGTCTGGCAGATAGAACGGGGATGGGAAAGAGCAATCTCAACACCTGTTGAATTTCGTTTTTAGAGACCCGTTCGATCTTGACCGACTGATCAATTATTCGCCGCCGCTGGGACGCGGACACGATTTAATCGAGGATCTATTCATGAGTTTTATTCAATAATGCAGATTATGGGAAGAGGTTTGCCAATTATAAAATCTCGGCCGATCTATTCTGATCGATGCATCCATCCTCTTGGATCGGATTATCGCAAGGGGAATCCGAGAAATTCCAGAAACTGGCGGAACGAAAGCAACGGATAGTAGGAGTGTCTGGGTTAGGTTAGAACAAACTAGGGGAAAGCGGAGTAATTTATGGATGGCTCCGTTTTACGAACGCGAAATCGTAAAAGAAACCTGGCGCGGTGTCGACGCGTCAGGCGTTCGATGTGTCCGGTTGCATAAGCTGCAGGCGGTTATGTTCATGCATTTTGCATCGTAGCCCGACATGCTCGTAACACGTTCGCCGCCCGCGAAATTCTAATCGACCATTCGGTTAAAAACAACCGGCCAACGACGTTTTGCAACCGCAGGAAAATAGACGCGCGAGTTGTCAGACTTCTCGAGTTAATCGGACCGGTTGAAAGTTTCAGACATTTCAAGTAAACGGAAAATCCATAGCGTTCTATCACCATGGATTAATTCAAGAAACAAGGAAAAATGTGTTCTTTTGATTCTGGATTATAATGTCTCCCTGACTCCTACGTGAACCCTATTGTACGCAAATTGAGTCGTGCGTGCCAAAGACGCATCATCTATCAACTTTGCCCCCGAACTTCTTCTATAGAACGTTTGCCTTTCATCGACCTACTATTCTCCACCCTCGTCGATGGATCAATCAAACCGAGATCACCAGAGTTCGCTCGGTGAACGATCGTCGGCGTGCAAAAAAAAAAAAGCGGTTCGCCAAAAATCACCTTTCGGTTCGATTAATCGGGAACATGGTTGCCGGGTCGCAACAGGTAGACAACAAGATGGAGTAGCAACTAGACAGTCCGTGTGGAGAAATTCGGCAACGCCGCCAACTGGTTCACTTTCTCTCGGCCGGCGAACTCGCAGACCGTTCTGGCTGGTTCCCTTCTTATGACGCGTGTTCTCCATCGCGCTCGCGCGAACCCCTGCGTCTGCTCGCCTTCCTCTGTGTGGGCGTGTACGTGTTGCACACCGGTCGCCACTGAAACGCCTTCACGGATTCTAGATCGTGATAGACCGATCCATAGATCCGGGTACGAGAGAACGCGGCATCTCAAACGGATTAGCCGTTCGAAATGCCGCGCTGATCGAATTATTCGCTCGTTTCGGTGTCATCGAACTTGCGAAAATTGCACGATTCGCGAAATCGTTGAAACCTTCTTTCGATTTTCCATAGGGGGGCCAACAAAAATAAAGACAAAACGTTTGATTTGTCTCTAACGAAGAACGAATCGCGTGCGATTCGCGTGGATGTCCAATGGCTATCGACACGATTCGAATCGTCCCTCTTTTACGATCGACGAGGATCCGCGACATTTCAACGGACAGGTGTCGAGCAGCGTCGTTTGCATCGAAAATCGCCCCGGGGGTATTTCGTAAACAATCCGCTAAATCTCTCCGTGTGACCAGCAACCATCACTGGCAAGATCAATACTACTCGGCAAACAGAACGGTGGATGGTTCACGGTAAACGTTTACCCTGTTCGATACGAGAGAACAATTGGTCCCATCGAGTAACTAACCCGACTACTTTCGATGTTCGATGCCATCGCGTTGACCATCGTTATCGATAACGACGATACGGTTAATTGCCATCCTTTCCAATACAATTAAGCCTGCTATACATTGGTTAAATAAATGAGAGAATACATTAGGGCGAGTCAGCGATTGCGTAAACGATAATCGTTATCGATTTTAAAATCGGTTTAGCAATCAGGGAAAACCATAACTCAACGTTATAATTGATGAGCAACGAGATTTTTATCGGACAGCGTCGTGTTGGAGAGATTGAAATATTTTTATCCGTTGTCGTTGATGCGCGTTCATTGAAAAGACGAGCAGCAACGTTGTGAAGCGGGCTTAAAGGATCCGGGACACTGACGATGCCGTAATCAGAGCGATTAGGCGTGGCCGCGATAAGCACACACTGTTCTGCGGTCGTTGCTTCAACACGCGATAAATTGTTTCTGGGTCTAGACAGCCTATCGTCACTTTCCAATGCGTTCGTCGAAATGCAAAGCAGGATCGATAAGAAGCCTGGTTTTTCGTCAAATCCAAAAGTCCAGCTCTTACAAAATGAACGTGAAAATTTCAAATATCCGTATATCGATTCTAAAGCACCGACAATGTATTTTGCAAAATACACGTCACCGAGCTGAACACGTGCCGATAAACTCACAGGCTTACAATTCAAGCAACCTTAAAATTCAATTAACGCGACCACGCATGCAGGTAAATGTCAAACGGGCTCGTTCGATTTTCCGGAAAAAATTCACCCCGGCATGGCAGTTCGATCAATCGGCTCCGATCGATTTCCAGGTCGAACCAATTGCACGGCGAAAGGATTGTCCCGCCTCCCGGTGCATTGCATTGCGACGATCGGTATGCAACGAGGAATATTTAATTTGTTCGAGGAATACGAAATGTTGTTAATAGTGATCGTTAAATTGAATCGCGTCTCGAGATGAATTTCGAATACCTTCGATATCATGATGCTTATGAAAATTTTATGTAGCTTTGATTCTTAGACAATGACGATAGATAAAAGAAAGGATGGAATAATTGGACGAAAATATTTTCATCGTTCGTAAAAATTGGCGGAACAGAGTGAAGAAAGGGGATAAGGAAAACGAAAGCATCGAACCCTGGAAAGTGGAAATAATGTCTACCTTAACGAAGCTCATTGTTCTCGACCTTCGGTGAAATGCACGATGTTGCTTTTACATTGTCTACCGGTTGCTACTTGAGCACTGATTTGAAACTTTACCTGTTTGACCGTTAAAAAGCAAAGAAACAGAGGTTTCACTTGAACGGTACTCGAGAAAACAATCGTTTAACCGTGTATTTTCTCAAAGGAAGCAATGATATTATCGATTATACGGTTGGTTACAAAGATATTCAGACACTGTTGTAATTTCGTGAACGAAATTTAGCCCCCTATAAATGATTTCGTTAATTTCCTACTGAAAGTTCGTTAAAAGTGTTAATAGAAAGGCCACTGCTGTAAAACCCTTACAATTTAACCCACGCAAAAATAACTTCAAGTCAGACCGCCTGAATTGGCCTACCTAGGTTACCTTATGAAACTGTTAATACGTGTAATGAACAGTGTCTACTTGGCAAGTTTCCACGCAGCGACGAACCACGTCGCTTTCCATGCAAACTGAATG